CGGGTGGCAGCCGCGGGTGTTACGCAACGAACACGCCAGGAGAGACACGCAGGACCAGTTTGGAGCGGTGTCTTTCTTCTAGCGATCCTTTAGCCTCGACGGCATGTGGGTGCTTGTGTTAGGTGACTGCATTTAGAGGATTCATGCAGGGTTCATCACGCGTTGTCATTTTCAGCTCCGGCCGGTTTCTGTCTGACAGGTACCTGCCATGATGGCCTTTTGGGTGCTGCTGTGCCAGCTGTGTGGGATGACCTTTTCATTTCCTCACTGCCCAGGGAGACGGAATAACTTGAAGCAACCTGAATGGAAAGACGGTAACTTACTTCTAATGTGACTTTATGCTTTCCAAAATAAAAGTGTATCTAACTTTGCTTCTGCTGAAAAATCTTTTTATGTATGTAAATAGTTTTGATTTTGTTGGTGGTGGTTTTTTATCTTAATTTTAAAAAGCAAGCTCTTTTTAGGCTTAATTTTATAATATTTTAATTTTTTTTCTGAAATGGTTGATAACTGACTTGGGTGTCGAAATTAAGTATTTGCAGGTTGGGACAACTGAGCTTTTTCTGTGTCTCACTGATATAACCAGAATCCTCTAACACCAAATTCCCAAAGTCTGAAATCTGTATTAAGAGAGTGCTGCTTTGGTACTATTTGAGCACATCCCAGTTTTATTTGCATATCTAAAGTTGTTTTGTATTTGAAAGGGTTTATTTGCTTGGTTTTTAAGATATTTTCTCTCAATACTGGATCCTGTTAAAACACCTTGAAAGATTAGTGCTGCTGTTGCAGTTCTTCACTTTGGAGGGAGGGAAGTGGAGAGGAATTGAGGTAAAAACAAAGGAAAGTTCCTATGGTGCTAAGCCATGTGATACTTAACATTTAAGCATCAGGGCTTCAAAAAGTAATTTGTATTTTAGCTGTCCAGTCTCCTAAGTGGTTAAAGAGTGCTGAAACCTTAAGATAGACTTTATAAAGCCATCACTTTGAGCAGGAGGCTCATTAAGGCCAGAATGTTGAACAGGAGACATGGCTAATGGAAAAATACTTGAGACAGGTTATTCATTAAAACCCAGACTGCTCTGGGGCAAATGTAAGGCTGCCTCTTTCCGGTGAGTTCTTGGCATGGAACCCTCTCCTGACACCAGGCCCAGATCACTCCTTTGGAGACAGAGTTGGAAAGAGAGGGGCCCAACTCGCTATCCAGTAATTTAGCAAGTAGAACAGTTGCCAGGAGTATGGGGTGCCTGCACTGAGAGGTTACCCCTTCAGCATGTTCTGAACATCTTTCACCAGCGAAGCTACTTTATTCAGCACATGGTATGGATGCATTTTTGGTTAAATGCTAGGCATCCTAAAGGAGCGTTTACTATTTTGTTGAATCAAAGGCTGAAGAACTGCATTTTTTTTTGGCATATAGGAGGGAATTCAAATTCGTTTCATTCTCCAAATACTATCTTCAAATACTATCTGAATCACCAGAGATGGAGATAGGTGTACTTTGACTATGTCCTACAAAGTGAAAAAAGTGCACATAAATGGATAAAGATTCTCTGAAAGAGAAAAAGAACATGTATCATTGGGAATTGGGGGTCCTAGGTGCCAGGCACCTTGCTTATGCATTACACGTTAATTAAAATGCATCAATTATCTAAGTTAATTCAGAAGTATAGCTAATACTACTTGCATAGTAAGGAATGAAATACTACGGAGCAGAACTGAAGATCTGTGTTTCAGAATACTGATGATATTCTGGTGATTTGCACTGAACCAAGAATGATAATATTTATTTTCATGTAATTATTTCCCCTTTCCACTTGTGGCTTTGGGGTTTTTGTGCTTTTTTTTCTTTTTTGATTAAGGCCTTCTCTCTGGTTACTTTTAGATCTAGCATAAATATTTTAAGCTTAGATTTTTTTGAAATTACTTTAGAATAACAGATTTCCCTTTCTCCACAAATGTGTGCACACGTGTCTCCTTCAATATATACTGTAATACTTTATAAATTATATAAATACATACTGTAACATTCCTTCAATATACTATAATATTAAAAACATAAACAACTGATACACAAGCTACACTGCAGTTTTCTTAGCTTTCAGGGGGCAAATTGTTTTGAGATACAATTGAGAGATCTAACAGTAACTCCCAGGGTAAAAATTCCTGAGTGATGTGATAATCTAGCCAAACAAGCTAACAAGAACACAGAGCTAATTTGTAGCTGAATAACTTCATACTGAACCTCATCTCCTTTTTTAGCTGTCTGGCTTGGTACGTAACAGTGCTGGTTCTACATTACACTTGCAAAAATAATCCTCTAGTCATTTTGCTTAACCAAATAGTCTGAATTTCGTGGAATACAGATGAGGCTTTCACTGAACACCAAGCCAAAAAACTAGCTCTGTCACATAATTTTGTTTGTTTGTTTTTTTAAAGAAGCTGTAGCAAGAGCAGGCTAAAACTTGACTGTGGAAAATGCCTGGTGAGAAAATGCATTCCTGTATTCCAAAGCCTTCTATAATTTCACTAAGTCTTCTGGAATCTCACCTCACAACTTATTCAATGAGGCCTCAAAGAACCTGTAACAAGCACAAAGGAAGAAAAGAATGAAATATCCTCAGAAGCTCCTGTTGTCAGTGAAGTTCCTATCATGGATTAATTTCAAACACAGAAACTTGGCAACATACCAGCCTTTACATAAAGTTTGCTGCCACAACTGTGAAAGGAGAACAAACGTCAAATGAATAGGACTCCGCTGCCTTGATTTAAAATCCAAATTCCATAAACAAAAAGTTAAAGATCGTTTTTTTCTTTTCTTCCTTTTTCCCCCTTGCCTCCTTCTTCTAGGAGGTCACTGTCTTGCTGAGTTTGGATTCGACTGAATTTCTGCTTTATGTGACTATCATTTTGTTCATAAGAACTCCAGTAAAAAAAATGATGCCCAGGTCCCAGAAGGGATAACACCAAAACTTGAACAACGGCTGTCATGAGAATCAAATTCTCTTGGCCAGTATAAGGAATAGCTGAAATGCTCTATGAGAAATGAAAATATGTTTATTTTACATTGCATAGTTAGAAAAGTTAGCAGTGAAGAAGTAATTTTAAGAGGAGACTGTGATGTTTCTTTTCCCTGTATGTAGTTGAGAAATTCTAGGGGAAGTAGTCTCAGTGTACTCCTTTAGGACATTAACCATTCTTTTAAAATGCCAAATTTATCTGTTCTCACTTGTTTTAAATCAAGTTTGTTCTTTTTTATTAAATTAGTGTTCACATCAGAAAAGGACGCCAATTTATTCATTGGACGACATCTTTTGAATAACAGATTTGATTTTGAAGCATTCACAGCGGATAACCTGGAAAGAGAATGCCTGGAAGAGCTGTGCAATTATGAAGAAGCAAGAGAAGTTTTTGAAGACCCTGATAAAACGGTAGCTGTTCAAACTGAATTTAATACACTGAAGGAGGCTAACTCATTACTGCATCTAAATACTGTAGCCCTTCTGAAAACAGCACTTAGGATGATTGACTGTAAAAGTCAAATCCCGTTAGATGGGGTTATTGCTCTAGATACACAGTGAATACACTTGAGTACATACTGTTCTCTTAAAGGCTTTAGGTAGGGGCTCCAATTTTGCAAATATAAACTTCAGAAGTACTGCTTCTGGATATACCTACATTTGTTTTCAAAATCTTGGTATAATTGTTTTTAGTCAATTCTCAGCGTCCAGTCTGTGGTCCACATGCTCGTTGTATTAATTGGCTCATCATGCCCCTGTGTCATGCCAAAGAAGTGTTTTAGAAGAGAGGAGTATAGAGCAAATCTGCAGTTCAACTCTTGCTGAGTATTCCCATTCTTATAGCATTATTTTCTAAGTTGCTACCTATATACGGCTTGGAAGAAGCCTGGTATAAAAAAGAGAAAATACATGAAAAGACCTTGAGCCCTGTAATGGAATGTGATGATTCCAGCCTGAAGACTGGCTCTTGCTGCATGCAGCAAGAATCTAATCTGCAGCAGAAGCATGGAATACACTCCTGTTGTGAAATGTTAGTTTGCCATTGCTAGCACTTTCCTAAGAGAAAGGTGAAAATGTTAAATTGAAATGTTGATACAGTACTTTCACTGGGTAGAAAAAGTGGAAATTACAGCTAAACACATTTAATCCGCAACAGTCATGCAACATGAAATCTTAAATTAATCCTGTTGTGTTTCCTAGCTGATACGAGTTCAAATACTGTTCATGCAAAAGTCTTGTTCTTAAGAACTTGACTTTGCCTCGTTAATACTATTCTGTAGGGATTTACAAAGATTAATCGTAAGCATTTTTCGGTGTCGGAACACGTGCTAACTTCTGTAATCAGACAGAAAGATGAGGTTGGACAGTTAAATGCACTTTTCTCTTTCACCAGATGGCACTTTCTCCTTTGTGAAATAGTAATTTCTATGCAAACTTGAATGCATGAAAAAAAATCGGTGGTATAAGAAAGTACAACTCCTTCAGCTGGAGCCACCTCTGTTTATACCATTTTTAAATTTTGTCCATAGTACCATATTAAAAAATGTCAGTAGGGCTACCAGTTATGTATCTCATAAAAATCTGATCCTTTGTGTTCTTATAGATGGATTTTTGGAAAGAGTATTCAACTAAAGGCCCTAAAATAAAAATAGGTAAGTCATCTTTTTATTATTTTCTTATATTGCAGTATTTTGTGTACACTCTTAAAAATACACCGTACATGCAGTTAGCAAGGTCATAGAGTTGATCTTGACACTCACTGTGAACTGCAGAAGTACACTGCATTATGCAGTACAATAAATTGTACTCACCCAAGCGTCATACTCCTGGTGGCATCCATTAAAAGTCTGTAGGTAAAAAAAAAATATAATTTTCCTGCCCGTTTCCTTGGATAAACTTTGCAGTAATTATGCGGCTGCTTCATGTGGTTTGGTTTTGTTTGTTCTCTTTCCCCCCGTTCTTCTTTAATAGTAATATAACAGTCTTAGGTAGGTTCAGACTGTAGGGTCTTGTGCCAGATGTTTTACAAAAAATGGTCTGTATGACTTGAAAGATCTGCAGCCTGATCGAGGTCACGAGCACATGAAGTAATATTTGAAGGGAATTAGAAGACAGACATCCCAACAGTTTTATGTACAGAAAAGGGAACGTCTTACTTTTGCTTTAACCTGAAGGTGAATGATACTCGTGGGTTCTGTTGCACAGATATTATGGCTTCTTACAGCAAGCTAGACATTTGTGCAAAGGAACAGCCTTATAGTACGGCAAAATTAGTATTGTACAGTGCATACTCTGTATACTGTGTGGGTGGAAAGAACACATAACAAAAATAACCGATGTTTTTTGTCTGCAGGTAATGAAACACTACAAAAGATCAATGTTACAGGACTTCTCATCAGCCTAGTTGCTGCTGGAGTACTGTTAGTTATCATTGCACTGCTTATCTTCTACTGCTGCAAAAGTAGATGCAAATCACGGCAACCTCCAGGGTAAGGAATTTTCACTCTTTCAAAAAAAAAACAACAAAACCCCACCAAACCAAACTCTTGCTTAAAAGTGAAATTTAAAAATCACTGTGGTTGGTCTAAGTGTATTCTCAGAGAATTCTAGTTCTTGCTTTCCTGGAAGCGAAGGTTGGTGAGCACTAACAGTAGTTATGCTGAAGTTAGTAACACAAAAATGTAAAGAAAATATTTGTATGGCTGATGTACCTTTGAGAAAGATGGAATAATTTTAATAGGCTGGGGCCCACAATGGAAAGTCTAATGTGTTCAGTTTGCTCTTTAAAGTAGGCTGTATGCTTTTCATGGCACGTAGTCTGCCTCAGATGTGAAATTCAGTAGGTTGGAGGAAATGCTTCTTTACTACTTCTCTAGCCCTGCTTGTCCTTTATTCTAAACTTTAAAGGAATACAAGAGGATTCTCTGTTTCCTCTGTCAAATAAATTCCACATTACTGAGCTGTTCTTACCCGGTGGTTTGGAAAGAGCATTTTGCTTCTGGCTTTTATGATCCAATGATCATTCAGACCTTCAATAGGCAAGTGTTTTTTGTTGTGCTGCTTTGGGTTGTGTTGTTTTTTTTTTACACCTAAGAGTTTCTATAATATTTCTTCCCTTTAAAAAAAAGAAGCTGCCACTTACAATGCTGTTGATTTTGTTTAGGTACTTGGATTATGTAAGAAGTAGAAGACGCAATTCTTCTAGCATCTTTCGAAGGCATGAAGAATTTTCTTTAAACCCACTTCCTCCCAGAACTGATGATTCAGGATTGCCAACTTACGAGCAAGCAGTTACTTCAGATGGACAACACAACATACCACCTCCTCCTTATCCAGGGCCCCCGAAAGGGGCGCGGTGGTTTAAAAAGTCTATGTCACTTCCTGGCCCTTAGTCACAAACCTCCCTTTGGGGTGAGCGGTGATCACTGAAACATACTTTTTTTAAAAAGTGTGTGCTACCTTGCATATTGCAAGACAGTTTACAAAAACGTGAAAGATCTTTGGCAAAACTGAAAACAAGTGAAGGTCCCATTTGGGAGAAGAGCTGACCTGCTGCGAAGGCTGCAGGACTATTCTTTGCACAAGGTTATTGTGCCAAGAGGAGGGAATGCGTAAGGAGTAAGTCTTGTATCACCCTCTTCTGTATGCACTTTGAGCCATCCCATCATACTATTGATGTTTCATTAATAGTTTCATCTTTTTTTCCTTCCAGAGGAACAGTATTTTAATTGGTTCTATTGACACTATCCATTTTTTGTGACTGTTAATACTTTAAACCATCATAAGTCTACATTGTTGCTTCATGTATTCACTTTATTGCTGTGTGAGTTTTCTATTCATTCTAGTAATAGATTCAAGGATGGAAATTATTTAATGATGTGATCTTTCAACTGTGTATCTGTCACTGCTTTTGGATTATACTGGTTTGGTTTAGACATTGCTGGCTAACACACTACTCAATCTGTTGTATTTTTTGTGATTATAATTCTGGATAAAAAGGAAGCAGTAATTGCATGGCACATTACCCGTTCAGACCAAGTATACTTTTATCAAATGGTTTTGATGTTCAGCACTAAATACTTACTTACTTCCACCTGGTAGAGTGCTGGAGGTCGGGGGATGTCAAGCAAATAGCTGGAGATTTGTCCTTTGTTAAAAAAAGTACTCAGCTTTCACAGATAATGTTTCTCTGTTGTTATTTTCAGATGGTATTTTCATTTGGTACCTAAAAGGCACTTTATGTTATAAAGGTTGAATATATGTAGCATTTCACTGAATTTTGTTTTTTAATGTGCTACAGTGCTTTTGAGTGAGATGCAGAATAGTATGAGATTTGTAATCTGTAAATGTTTTTGTAAAGAAGAGAATGATCCAAATCTTGGAATATAAAGAGGGTCCATTGAAAATGCTACACAAGGAAGTCTTGCCCTTTGAAAAATACATACAACCCAGCAGGTATCTGTGAACATTGGACTGCGTTTATTCCTAAAGCTTCAGCATCAAATTTGGCTTCTTTCTAGATGATTTGGGGGAATCCCTGTGTTGGGATAGCTTCAGTTAGCTTTTCCCCTACATGTAAAAGCATCTTGAAGTTCTTGGAGGATAGCGTAGTGAATTGTGCGAGATCCCTGTTGGTAACCAAGATACAGAGTTATAAAGCAGCTATGGAATTACAAGCTTCCAAAAAAACATTTCTCCCATGTTTTCATTTAGCTAACAATTTTTAAATTTGTGTGCATCTTGAGCTAAAGAGCAGTTGCTATTAGAATACAGAAAACAGCAAACGTAGGTGTCTTTAGGTGGGAGGAGAAGGAGGTGAAGGTAGATTTTCGAGGAGCAGTGCAGCACCAGGTTTCATCTAATTTGCACACAGGCATAAATCATCAATGTTTCGACTTCCAGACTTTCTTTCAAAGGCCCGTAGGAAAGGCAGTGGATTTTAAGTGAATTAGCAGAGATCTACTATGACAGTTGAAAACAGATGGGTCTAAAGAAAACACTGGGAAAAACTACATAGGACTTAAATTCTGTTTCTCTCAGAACAGGTTTAAACATGTCACACTAAATGCTGTTAGCCATTGCCTTGACCAATTTTCCAAAATTTGCCCAGAGGGGCAGTAGATGCCCCATGCCTGGAAACATTCAAAGTCACATGGGACAGGACTCTGAGACAACCTGAAGCTGTCCCTGCTCGTTGCAGGGAGGCTGGACTAGATGACCTTTAAAGGTGCCTTTCAACCCAAACCATTCTATGATTCTTCATGCCATATAGCACCTAGTGACAGAGAAGAAGGGTCATGGCTTGGTTTTTTTCGCATTGTCAATTTCTGCTCTGGACAGAAGCTTCCTACTTCGCCTCTCCAGTTCACTGAAGCACCTGAGGTTCTGAATGATGAACTGTAGTTGCTGAGGATGAAGTCCTCAAGACAGACAAGCCAACTTAACTAGGTCTTACACTCCTCCGTCTTCCTTGACTTCCATCTGACCTTTGGTGAGAAGATTTAACTCCACAACGTGGCCAAAAAATACCCAGTTTCTTGGGGCTACTGAAGTAAGGAAGACCACTCCAACGAGGACCAGCCCGGGCATACAAAAGCAAGGCAGGAAGTTTGATTTCAGTCTGACGGGCAGGTACGCATTGTGCAGTGAGAATCAGCTGCTGCAGAGAGGCAAATACTGTAGCACAGCAAATTGCACTAAATTAAACCACTCTTGTTTTGCCCGCTGAAAGACAATAGCGAGATTTGTGCTTTTTTCTCCCAACCACACAAAATAAGCTGAGTTAGCTGGTTAAAATGCCCCGAAGAATACCAGAATCTCCTCCTGTATTTCAGCATACGGTGGGTGATCAGTCCCTGAACTGAGACTCGGAATACAGCTGGTGGGGTATAGATGCTTAATTTTCATTAAAGTCTTGGGAAAATAGGATCTTAGTTGTTTGGAAAATATCTTTTATGTCATCTGTTCACACTATTACGACTTTAGCTACACACCTCCCATCTCCTCTGCAGAAAAATAAGGAGTTTCTATCTAGTGGGTTTCAACAGTTTTAAAAATTATGTGGAATTGAGCAAATTTACAGCATTCTGACACTACTTACATTTCTTTAAAAAAAAACCAACAAAAAACAACACCTGGCCAAACCTCAGATTAATAAAATTTCCTATCTAGCTTTTAATCTCTGTGTCCATTTAATAGAAAGCCAGCCTATTCACTTTGAAACATCAAAAACAATTACTGCAAAACTGCCCTGACTAATTTGGCAAAACACTGAAATGTCAGCAAAAGACTAGCTCGGGCTGAGAACAGCAGGTCCTGTGATGTACTGACAATGGAGCAACAGCAATTCCATTTGTGTTCAAACTACAGTTTAGTTTGCTGTTGACCTGTGTGGAAGCAGCCGCTGCAAATTTTTACCAGGTGGACACCATTCCTCTATTTTACCATAAAATGCATTATTTTTAACATAGCTTCACAATGGCAACTCTGCTAATGCTTATACAGAAAATAAGAGAACACTATCAAATGTATTTTTAAGAGTGTTATTTTTGATACAGTAAATTTTATCCATGTTGAAAATACATAGAACTACATTAACTACTTTTGCTTTGCATTTAGCTTAATTTCTGTTATTTTTCTTCCTGTCTTCCTTCACTTCTTATTGTTCTACCTGTAATTTGAAATTTTCTGTTTGCTGCTTTTTTTTTTTTTTAAAAAAAAAACCACAACGAAACCACAAACCCTCCTGGACATGGTTGCCAAGCACTTGGTCCCCTTCCTCTCTCTGAAAACCACTCTTCTTGCACGGCTTCTCCAGTCTCTCCATAGAGATGGCAGGGCCTTGAGATGCTCCTTTCCCTCCCATTTTCACTGCAGGCATCTTGCTGCCCACATTCTGGGAGCCTCTAGAAGCCCACACTTTAAAGCTAGCAGAAGCCAGATCTGAAAGTATGGGGAAAAATATTTCAGTATAGAACCTGGTACACTTAAACAGAAGTTTCAAAAAGGTTTTAGATTTCTGATGCAGTGCCTACTTCATTTAGGAAATAAACATTTGTGATCACTCGAGTTGTTCAAGCAGCTTCAGTTTAATTTCTCTATAGATCAGCAACTACTAAATACTGAATATGTAAACATCCAGTATTTAATGTTAAATGTCCAGCATGGTTATGATACAAAGGAAAATATCTAGTAAGAGTTAAAATTAAATATTCCCTGTTTGTTCAAGATCAAAGGTTTTATTTAAAGTTTTCTTTTTCCTACATGTCATTACATGTTTCTTCCACTTACCTTCCACCAGTTCTGATGCTTATTAGATCCCTTCGCAAATCAGCCAGCAAAAACACGCACAGCTTTCTCAGAAGCAGGTGAGTTAATTCCACACAAGTGCGAGTGGTGGTGCTTTCGAAGGTGTGGAACCCCATGATCAAGATGACTGGGCAAGTGAAGGGAACGTGTCCTTTCCCATTGCTGCGGTAAGCTGCCAGCTCACTCATCTCAGCACATCAGAAGTACCATGGTCTCGCAGAGCAGCTTTAATTCAATACAATGAATTCTAAAATTTCTGCTTCATTTGTTTGTACATTTATTTAAGCTTTTTATCAAATAAATGCAGAGTAGTACACATAAAGAAATGCAAAGAGAGTATTTGCTGTGAAGCTTCAAGATCAAGTGTGTTCTTTGAAAGGCAGCACTTCCCTATTTACACGTTTCCTAATGTCTAGCTTTACATTTAAAGATGCCATGTGCAAAATTAAACACAAAATCTAATCTGCTAAGCAACTGCAAATTCAGCAGTTTTCTGCTTTGGTCAGAATCACAATTACAAAAAACAAAACACCCTCCAAATCACCAATCAGTGATTAGTAACAAACAGGTCTAACCAAGACTTCTGTTATTTCTGCATAATATCTGACCTCCCTACCCTCTGCTGCCCACCAAAGACAGCACAGCCTATCAGCACAAAGGTCTGGCATCCACGGTCTGTAAGTGGATGCCAACTGTCCATCAGCATTCAGAGAAAGATGCTGTAGAAATTTTATTTTGCGCTCTTTTTATAACTTGTTAATAAATCAGACCCAGCTCAGCTTTGGCCTGAACTTCTTCAAATTTCACCTGATCAGACACGTCCAAGTTGAATGCTTTATCTTTAAAACATTAGTTTTTGAAAAAGAATGTCCTCAAGTCTCCAAAACACTGTTTTCAAACAGCTGTGAAGATTCATTCTCTCAGCACAAGGCTAACTGTTAAGCATTTCTAGAGCTTTTGTTGACAAATGGTTAGCCACTGAGAGCTAACCACTAAGACGTTTGTATATGCTAGCAAGCTATTTATGATACTGTGATAGTTACAAAATAAAGTACTATTATGAACTGAAATACAATCCTTTTTG